CCATGTCCCCAGGAGGGGACATCTGCCTACAATACTCTTTCTCCACATAAGGGGCCTTCGCTCACCACTCTGTGAGGAAACAGGAAGCCCCGCCAACTTCCCCCACCTTGAGGACAGATGTATGTGGATCCCTGCCTCAGCTTCCTCACTGCTAGGTGGGCCAGCTCTGAGGCGCGTCCTACGCAGTATCTATGAGGCCCTCCAGCGGGATGGAGCCCAGTTGCTACTGGGAGAGGACCTCCATCAAAGTACACTTCATGGCTTTCCCCACCGCCCTGTTCCCTCACTATACTTCCTGGGATCACCTTTTCATAAACTAATTGCCCCAAAGTCATTGCCTCAGGATCTGAATTTGAAGAAAGCCAAACTTAAACAGGCTCTTTGGTACTTATTTTCAATGAATCTGGATTGCTTTCATCAAGCCCACCATCTACCCGTGCACCCCATCATCCTATCCATTAATGAGCAATTGGTGTACTGGTTTTATTGGGTTGATGTCACCTGCCCCCAGAGCCCCTCTGAGGCCTGTTCACTCAGAGGACAGCACTGAGCGTGCTCAGGAGCAGGGGCACCTCTAGGAAGACCAGGAGCCAGAAGTAGATCCTGATGAGCAGGGACCTCTGGGGGCCACGGTGACAGGCAGTGAGCCACATCCTCAGGGAGACGCCCTAGTTCCCTCCACAATCCTTCTGTCCCTGTGCCCATGTCCCGAGGCTACAACAGTCCACACAGAGATCAGTCCCAGGAGGGTCCAAGGGCGGGGCAGCCCCACACAACAGACCACGCCTGTGACCCTCAGGCTAACAAATGCCCTTGAGACAGGACTATGGACATGGAGAGGGCCTGGCTATTGGAGTGACGGGAGGGAGACCCCAGGGAGCAGGCAGGATCTGGGCCAGGAAAACGGTTCTACCTAAGCCTGTCCCATTGGGGGTTACCCTGAGGATCAGAAATCGTTGCTGGGTTATTTGTCTGATGTCTGCTCCCCACGAACAGTGTTTCCCACGAGGGATTAGAAATGTGTGCTTTAGTCCCAGGGAGGATCTGCCACCTGGGTGGTGCCTCCAAAAACCTTGACCTGAAATTCAGTGGTTCATGATGGAGGGAATGAATGACCCGACTCACCTCTCCGCTCCCTTAGAGGCCTGGTCTTCAATGGATGACTCTCTGGCGAGGGCCTTGGGGGTGAAGGGGGAGCAGAAAAGAGAGCCCAGGGGCCCCCAGAGCACCTGGCTGACCTGGGCCGGGGCCTGAAGGCCCCCGTTGCAAAACACTTGCACTTGCTTTGCCCTGTCTCTGGAGCGCGATTTCTGTAGATACCTGAGTGATGGCTCCCCAAATCCTACAGGTCTCCAGGGAAATGTCCTCTCACCGGCCAGGCCTCCCTGATCATTGTGTATTAAATAGCAATCGCACCACCCTGAAACTCTTCCACACATGCCCTCCCTGACCCAGGTGTACTATTGCCTTCAAGCTTTCATCACGAACCGGCATTACTTCCACTGATGAATGTGTTGACTTCTTCACTGTGTGAATTTCCCAGCTATTGTCAGAGCAGGATTGTGTCTAGGTGGCCCAGGGCTGTATCCCTAGAAGAACACCTGGCACTTGGTAGGACTTCCACAACTCGGTGTGGAGTTGGTAAATAAGTGAGGGACCTAGGCCAAGACAGTCACGCCCACATTCCTCAGCCCTCTGTGTTGCCTAGAAATGACCCAAGTGTCAAAGGTCTCCAGCTGCTAGCCCCTTACCCAGGATACTGACTGGGATTGGGGGACTCCTTCGGGGTCATGGTGCTCCACGTGGGGGCTGGCAGGGTCCTGTGAAGACCTGGGGTGCTGGTGGGCCTCACGGAGCTGGGGCCTGCTGTGAGGATTGAGGGAGAAGCCTGTGTCAGACCTGCTTCCTCCCCCGGCCCTCCCACTCTCTGTCAGCTGTCCAGCTCCGGCTCACCTGGTCCTGGTCACTCAGGCCATCTGGACAGATGTCCTGGCTCCACATCCCCCCACAGCCACACCCAGTCTGACTGGCACTCAGGCCCTCCCCTGGCCCCTTCTCCAGGTGCACCCTGGCCAGGAGGGCGATTTCAGAGGCAGAGTCGTCCTGCTCACCGGGGCACGTCAGAGTGTGTGGAAAGAGCAAGGGCTCCGGGCTCAGCCAGCCTGCACCTTGTTTACCCTGGCGGAGGATGGGGTGAGCTTTACTCTGTAGAGATTGATCCGGAGCTGGGTGTGGGGCAGGCAGGGTCCTTAGGCAGGGCTGATGTCTGGAGTGAGGCTCATGCAACAGGGCACTCAGTGGAGTCTACACTGAATGGTGGGACCCTGGCACTCAATGCACTCGGGCCCCAAACTGTCAGCCAGATCCGTGAACCTGGGGTACCACAGGACCGAAGGTTAGGCAGAAAGAAAGATCTAGAGAGACAGACACACATCCGGGGGACCCCATAGAATGTCGCCTGCCCTGAAGCCAACTGGAAAACTGGCGTTCCCTCACACCGCTGCTGGTGTCCGAGGATGCTCAGCCCCTCACTGTTATATAGGATCCCACAAAGGGCCTGGGAGGGCAATGTCCCATGTGAGCGAGACAAAGACCTATAAGAAGGACCTTGGAGGAACCAGGGACAACATCAGAATAAGAACACAGGATAAAAATCTACCCACTTAGATGGATGTTCTCCATTTGGGTTTTAGGAAATAAATACAGGGTTCTAGTAAACAAGAATTGTTAACAGCACAAGGAAGTATATTTGGGGCCATAAGACCTGAGAACTCATTTTTCTCATCCTTCTTCTCCTTTGTCTGAGGGGAGATTTC